CCCAGTTTATGCGTTCTCATTAATAACCTTTGGCACCTCGATCACAATCTGACATTGCTTGACTACATCTGTGAAATATTGGAGTTTATGCCACAGAAGGCTTGCATCCTCTGCTCACTCCAATTTCTTGCTTCAGCTACTCCCTTTCACACTAAATTTCTAACATGTAAAAAAAGTTAGAAGTGTGCTTATTTGAAAAAAATATTTCCTCTTTGGTCTTAGTCATGTGTTAGTATTAAAAATCAGTACTCCCTGACCCCATCAACAGCAGTCAGCAATTCTATGTGTGAAATGGAAATAGGCACAAAAGTGACACCAGGACCTGAAGAATTGAACAAATTATAATGGAGACAGGTAGAAACTTGAAAAAGTGGCTGTTGCTCCAACCAAAAGTTCATAATAAGTAGTTTGAGACTCGCAGAATTCATATATATATCCTCAGAGATCACCATTTTTAAATGATGAGTATGCTTCAGTTAACAGTCTACTTTAATTAGATAGTGAGCAAAAGTATTTTCCATTTCAAGAGATCCAGAATAAACTAAAGGTTACAGTTTCTTCTTGCTCAAACTAAATCCACATTTTTTATAGTTCTATCTCTGCAGATTTGTCCTCTTACCCATATACATGGCCTAAAAACAACTGTTTCCTTTTTACTTTCTCCTCAAATAACACTTTTCCTTGCATGACACAAGATAAAGGTGTCCAAGAAAGAGTCATAGTTTTCTTGCTAAATAGCTATTCTATGTCCTATATCAAAATGGAAAAAGGCAACAGATAAATACTAGTGAAAATCAGATCTCAAAGGAACTAACTTTAGATCTAAAGGGAACTAGACACCAAATTGGGAGGACTAACTAATGCTCCAGAAGACAGGATCAGAATTCATAATGACCGTAACAGATTAGACAGCTGGGCCAAGACTAACAAAATGAATTTCAACTAGGAGAAATGGAGGATACTACACTTAGGTATAAAAAACAAAATGAATAGACACAAAATGGGTGATGTCTGGCTTGACAACGGTTCATGTGAAAGAAATCTTAGAGCCTAAGTGGACAATAAGTTGAACATAAGTCAACAATGTGATGCAGCAGCTAAAAAGCCAATGTGATTTTGGGCTGCATCAAAATGAATATAGCATCTAGACCAATTCCAGATGTTTTGGACGTCAACTCCCACAATTCCTAACAGACAGTAGTCTGTTAGGAATTGTCGAAGTTGAAAGTCCAAAACACCAGGAGGGCCGAAGTTTGCCCAGGCCTGGTCTAGACCAGTGGTTCCCAACCATTTTTTGACCAGGGACCACTTTGACCAGGGACCACTCTCCAACATTAGTACCAAATGGATGCAGTTATATTGCTATTGTAATAATAATATTTTAAATGTTTTAAATTGCTATTTTATAATTTAATGTTTTAATTAATGTTGAATCTGTGTTATATTGTTATGGTGTATGTGTTGGAATCAAATTGCTGCCGATTGTAAGCTGCCCTGAGTCTCCCCTCGGGAGTTGAGAAGGACGGGGTAGAAATGTTTGAAGTAAATAAATAAATACACAAATCAGGTTTTGGTCAACTTTAGATTCAGTTTGGTCATTTGGGGTTCTATTTTGGGGTTCCGATTCAGAAAACTGCATTGGATAAACCACATCAGCTCTAGTTTCTGATAAAGAACATATGCCATCCATTAGTTGCCATCTGCTTACCCACAGAAAATTATATTTGATAAGCCTCGGCACTATAAAGGGTTTTTGCGAAACCAGTCACTTCATGGTGTAGTAACGGTGAAGCCACAGACCATATTTTATTTCTTGTGGACCACAGATTGGGAACCACTGGTTTAGACCAAGGAAAGTTCTGCTTTGGTCAGACCTCACCTGGAATGCTGTGTCCAGTTCTGGGCACCACCATTTAAGAGGGATATTGACAAGCTGGAATGTGTTCAGAGGAGAGTGACTAAACGAATCAAAGGTCTGGAGACCATGCTCTATGAGGACTGGCTTAAAGAACTCGGTAAGTTTAGCCTACATAAGAAAAGGTTGAGAGGAGACATGATAAAAAGGTAAAGGTAAAGGTTGTCCCCTGAAATTAAGTCCAGCCATGTCTGACTCTGGGGTGTGGTGCTCATCTCCATTTCTAAGCCGACGTTGTCCATAGACGCCTCCAAGGTCATGTGGCTGTCATGACTGCATGAAGCGCCGTTACCTTCCCACTGGAGCAGTACCTATTAATCTGCTCACATTTTGCATGTTTTCGAACTGCTAGGTTGGCAGAAGCTAGGGCTGACAGCGGGGGGGGGGGCACACAATAGCCATGTTTAAATATTTGAAAGGAAGAGGGGGAAGAAGGGTTCTTTTCTGCTGCCCTGGAAACTAGGATTTGGAGCAATGGGTTCAAATTACAGGAAAGGAGATTCCAGATGAACATTAGAAAGAACTTCCTGACTGTAAGAGCTATTCAACAGTGGAATTTTCCACCTCTAGGTATGGTGGAAGCTCCTTCGTTGGAGGCTTTTAAACAGACGCTGGATGATCACCTGTTGGGGTGCTCTGATAGTACTTTTCCTGCATGGGCTACATGGCCCATGTGGTCTCTTCCAACACTATGATTCTATGGTTCTAAGAAATGGACATTATTTTACTTGGTAGCTCAACAAACTCACATCATTTTTTCAGCCTTTTAACAGTGGCTTCTACAGATCAAATCTTTGTGAAAAGCTATCGTCATAAAGAGAAGAAAACTATTTCGTATGCATAGATATCACATAATTACATACTGATAGTCATTAATTGCACCTACAGGATTTAGTACTATGTAATTTTGCAGGTGTGATGATAGTAATTAGGTAGGAAAATTGCAAACAACATTTAGATGGAGTTTGGTGTGAAATTAATATGTATTTAATGAATTTTGAATGAGCAAACACAAGTCTTCCCATGTCCTCAAGGACTTGAGGGTCATTAAAATGTTTCATCAACATTCTAGCTTCTCTATATCTTAATTGCAAAGAATTACATAAAGCCTGGCTCATCAAAATTAAATCAAAAAGTAGCAGATCTATAGAGCAAAAAGGAGGTGTAAGGGTACAGGATTGACATAGAAAAACAAGACTGGTTCATTAGTCTTGAGCATTCCATTAACTCAAGCCAGTAAAAGAACTACTTATTTCCAAAGTAACAGTGCTTTATTTCCAACAAATAACAGACTGAAAGTACATATTAAAATATGCCAGTTATTGCTTACTGTAGTAAGAGGGCAGAACCTCTTTATTTAGGAAGGTACATGGTTTATAATTTGTCATGGCAGATGGCACTTTCAATGGCTGTGCAATTTTAAATGTCTTTTTATGTTGTTTTAATGTTTGCATTAATATTTTTTTTAGTTGTTCTGTTTTTAAATGTTAGCCATCTTGAATCCCGTGCTCGGCAAAATGTGGGATATAAATTAAATAAAAAAATACTCAGGAACCACAGACTGGTAAGCAAAGACAAGGGAAGGGGAACTTGACCAGATGGAAAGGACCTGTTTTCATGAGCCTTTGTATCAGTATTAGCCATGCCTGACTATCAGCAGCATCTCCTAAACTCTCCAAGGCACGCCAAACACCCATCCTGAAACTGGTGAAAATATAATGAGTGGTAAGCTTCATAGGCTTAGAAGCATAACCGTTCAATGGCCCTGGATATTTCTTTCAGAATTTTGAAAGACCAAAATTAGGAAGGCTGTTATGACATATGCATAAACAATCTTATTTGATTTTACTCAAACTTACCTTGAAAAATAGAGCACATCTACACAGACCATACAATTCAGTTTGAAGTTTGATTCAAACTGCAGCAGCTACAAAACACATACTGTCAAAGCATATTGCAGCGTGAAGGCTATTAAATCGCATCAAGTAAAGTAGGGGAAAAGTCCAAAATAAACCCTTTAATGTACTTCATTGAATCCCAAATGTAAGCTGAGGCCCCTTTTACACTGCCCTATATTCCAGAATTTGACCCCAGATCATTTTCTTATCCCAGATTATATGGCAATGGAGATTCATATAATTAAGTTCAAAGCAGATAATCTGAAATCAGATCCTGGGATATAGGGCAGTAAAGATCCAGTCTGGATTGGTCAACATTCCTCATTGGAAAACTGTCATGTATCATGTTCTGTAGTTGATGGTGATAAGCCTAGCAGTTGGTGATGGAAGGGTTAATGTAAGTCTTAGTTCTAAAGGACTGAGTAATCTGTAAGTAAGAGTTCATGGGTGAAAGCAATTAAGGGTGGGGCTATGCAAGAGATAGGCTGCAGCTGGATATAATGAGCTAGTCTTGGGACTGATTTGGGAGAAAAGTATTTGTCTTATTTTGGTGGTAGATGCTGCTGGTTTCCCCCAGGTTTTGGATTTTCAGTATCTTGACCTGTCTCTTGACCCCTTGGAACCCTGGAACCTTGAATCTCTGGACTGGCTTTTGACTACGGAATAGACTCTTGATCCCTGGACTTTGCTCATTGAACTCTCAGCGTTTGACCACTGGTCTGGACCTTTTGACTTTGGTGTTATCTTGAACCTGCAACAGTGTTTGCTGTCAGTTTTGTTTTATATTCTGTGGCTGAGTGCTATCTTTATGTTTTATGTTTTGGACTATTAAAACAGCCAGAAAGTAAGTGCTGTCTTAATTAAACTGTTTGATACAAACTGGGTGATTGTTTGGTTAATCTCTACCTGAATAAGGCAGAGCCCTGGCATTGTGACAAAACTCAGCACTATTATTAAATGAGGTTAGTCAGTGTGAATCACCATAAATATAACCTGATAGAAACAACCTGAAATGCATGCTTTACTACAGTTTACAGTACATATGTGAGTCAAGCCTTTGTAATTTCATAGAAAACAGGATCCCCACTGAAGTAGAATATGCTAAATTGTGTGACTGGTTAGGATACTTTTTCGAAAAGTGCCTCATACTTAGACCTCATAATGTGCCCCCAAACAAATTCAAGTACCTCTTCGAGGACATCAGCAAGCTTACTGAGTATCTCTTCAGGGAGGCTCTGGAATGTCGGAACACTGTAACACAAAGAAACAAAGACTGTATGAGGATTGACATCACTCCTTTTACCTTTTGCCAAGAAAAAAAACACTCTGCATACTTGAAAACCTAGAAAAAAGTTCCACTGGAAGAAAGAAACATGTAACTTTCCAAGTTTTGCAAGTATAGACAGATCACTGTCAGGGCTAGAAAATCAGATTACCTATCATTAGTTATGTGCTAACTCGATTTCTCTTCTCTTCAAAAAGGCTTAACAAATAAAGTTATCAGTTAACATCCATTGTTATTTCTATGGTGTTTGCTTCACAATGTATTGTGGGTGGAGATCAAGCAGAGGAGAACGAGAAGCAAACAGGGCTATTATCAAAATGCTGAGAATTGACGTTGGGCATATTTACACAGAACTGTTATTCCAAAAGGAGGGCGTATTAGGTCTGTAGTGGCTAAAGAATGTATGAGTTTTGGGTTAACACTGCCTTAAACCAGGTTAACAAAAGTCATGGGTTGCTCCAAATTCTACCCGAAAATTCGGAGTAAATGGAGACTTTGAGACAATTCTGAGACATATCACCTGGAGATAATCGTTTACAATCTATATAAATAAAAATGTAATGTTTGTTTGTGGTATTAACATAAGTCAAAAACCACTTGACAAATTGACACCATATTTGGACAGAATACACCTATCAGGCCAACAAGTGACCATCACTCATAAAAACACAGAAAAACACAATGGAAGAGACTTAAAAAGCCAAAAAAAATTACATTACAATGCATGCACAAAACCACACATATATACAGAAACACACATATATACACAGATATATACACACACAAAGGACATATACACAGACTGGGCCACAGCAACACGTGGCAGGGGGCGGCTAGTATTTTAAATAATTTTGTGCATTAAACAAAGTTTATATGCACTGAACCATCTGAAAGTTTATATACACTGAACCATCTGAGGGCAAACTAATAATTATATTTTTACATTATATATTTACATTACATGTAATATTACTAATAATATTACAATATAATGGTATAGTGCAATATAGTAATATATACTGATATTGTACTATGCTAATAATATAATATATTGTATGAAAATATATATTGTAAGCCGCTCTGAGTCCCCTTTGGGGTGAGAAGAGCGGCATATAAATGCCGCAAATAAATAAATAAATAAATAAAATAATAATAATAATATATTTATACCCCGCCACCATCTCTCAATAGGGACTCAGGTGGCTTACAAAGTAGTACACAATGATGTCACACACTAAATCAACATTTATAAAATAAACATGTCAATCTACATAAAACCACAACATACAGAAATTAACAAGAACTCAACTCAAATTAAATAAAATATCAGTAAAACACTGCAATAGCCACTAATTTAAAGGGGCTGTACAATCCCAGCTGTGAACCAAGTATGTGGACGATTTTGCAAAAGGGATAGTCAAGTTGTACTTATATCCATGTCTTTCATAAATGACTTTTTTTAGAATACTGGAAAATGGCTTTCTGCAATAATTGAATTTTATTTAAAAATCATCTGAACATAATATTTACGTAATGTCCAATTTTTACATTTTCCATTATTATGATGTTATATATTTATGGATATGTTGAAATACTAAAGTAAATAATATGTTACAAAATATTCAGTAATCTATGATGTTTATGTTTTTTTTATGGAAAAGTCAGACTCAATTGACTTGATTGTTCAATTAAATCTGAAATGCTTTAAATATTTTTCAGATTGCTATAACTAGGAAACCCATACATTTATGTACACAATTCTTAACTAATACTAATGTTTCACAGCCTTCACAACTTTCATTCCTTCCTACCAAAACCACCACTGCAAATTAAATCTAAACAATGTAAGACAAACAATTGCTTTGAATTCCCAAATCTCAGAACATTTACAAGTTCTCCACTAAAATGAATTCCAAAGTGAAATAGTGCTGTAACATAGTGATTGAAGCAATCTCGAAGGTCATCTAGATCACACCAGATATTGCAGGAAATGTAATACCTGTTAGGTAGCTCTCCATTCTCTGCTTTAAAATATCTCATAAAGTTTGCTCACATAATCAATTTATTGGAAATTTGGAAAGCCCTGTAACGAGAAAGAGTCTAATGCTGTATATAGGAACAATGTAGTTCTGTATTTGAGGGGAAATTCTGAATATTCAGTTGACATTTCTTCTCGAATACCTTGAACATATTGGAAAAACAGAAAATACGTTTCCAACACCACTTATTTTAGAAATGATTCTAATGGTTTCATTCTGCAGTTAGTTTTTTTCTGGGGGTTTTTTGTGTGGAAAGCAGTGGCAAAACCTCTGAATGAACCCTGCCGATAAACCCCTGTGATAACTTTACCTTAGGCTCGCTATAGATCAGAAATAGTGTTGTTAGTGAATTGAGCAGTATTCGTTAGTAAAAAAAAATGGGATTCAAATTTAATAAATGACCCTTATGGGCACCACGACCTCCACCATTATCTGTGTTAAATGTATCATTATTTTCTCTTTAGAACACAATTAAATGAATTAAATTTGGCACAGAATTCAAGACAAAATTCAGCAAATTCTGGCTTTTGTAATTGTCTTCAAACAGCCAGAACTGTTAAGGTAATGATTTACTAAATGTTAACATTTAAAATTATTTTATGATATATATATATATATATATACACACACACACACACACACCCCTTGGCAGCCACGTCTCCACAAAAGTCAACATTGACACTGAAATACAACACCGCCTGAGCTCTGCGAGTGCAGCATTTTTCCCAAATGAAGCACAGAGTGTTTGAGAACCAGGACATCCGTAGGGATACCAAGGTGCTTGTTTATTGAAGTTATTGAACTCCCAACCCTGCTATACACCTATAAAATGTGGACTAACTACAGATGTCACATGCAACTCCTGGAACGATTCCATCAGTGTTACCTCCGAAAAATCCTGCAAATCTCTTGAGAAGACAAATGGACAAATGTCAGCATGCTGGAAGAAGCAAAGACCACCAGCACTGAAGTGATGGCCCTCCGCCATCAACTCTGCTGGACCAGCCACATTGTCCAGATGCCTGACCATCATCTCCCAAAGCAGTTGCTCTACTCTGAACTCAAGAACRGAAAACGGAATGTTGGAGGACAGGAAAAAAGATTTAAAGATGGGCTCAAAGCCAACCTTGGGAGTGATCCTGGACTCATCACTGAGCCTGGAACCCCAGGTCTCGGTGGTGGCCGGGAGAGCTTTTGCACAATTAAAACTTGTGCGCCAGMTGCGCCCGTACCTTGGGAAGTCGGATYTGGCCACGGTGGTCCACGCTCTTGTTACATCCCAATTAGATTACTGCAACGCACTCTAYGTGGGGTTGCCTTTGAAGACTGTTTGGAAACTTCAATTAGTCCAGCGGGAGGCAGCCARATAAGTCACCAGAATGTCATACAGGGAGCATACCACCCCTCTGCTATGCCAGCTCCACTGGCTGCCGATCCAATTCYGAGCACAATTCAAAGWGCTGGTTTTGACCTACAAAACCCTATACGGTTCTGGCCCAGCATATCTGTCCGAACGGATCTCCCTCTACGTCCCACCTCGGAGTTTAACATCTTTTGGGGAGGCCCTGCTCTTGGCCCCGCCTCTATCACAAGCGAGATTGGCGGGACGAGGAGCAGGGCCTTAACCTATGGAATTCACTCCCCGGAGAAATTAGATCAGCGACATCCCTCCTTTCCTTTAGAAGGAAATTGAAAACATGGATTTGGGACCAGGCGTTTGGGCAATCTGGCAGATGAATAAAGGACTACCACGACTGATAGGAATAGATAATGTAGAACGAAATATGGACTCTGAGTTGGCGAACGCTGAGCTTGAGATTGGTTTATTGACTGTGATATATATTGATTGTTTTAACTGTCTTAATTGTTTTACACGTTTATTTGTATTATTGTGTAGGCATCGAATTGTGCCTTTTTGTAAGCTGCCCTGAGTCCCCCCTCGGGGGTTGAGAAGGGCGGGGTAGTAGTACACGAAATAAATAAAAAACTTAAAAATGGTTGCATTGACACCGAGAACTGGGAAGCCCTAGCCTTTGAGAGCTCTACCTGGAGGTCTGCTGTGACCAGCAGTGCTGTAGAATTTGAAGAGGCACGAATGGAGGACGAAAGAGAGAAATGTGTCAAGAGGAAGGTGTCAACCCTGACGGGACTACCTTCCACCTGGAAACCAATGTCCTCACTGCAGGAAAACATGCAGGTCAAGAATAGGGCTCCACAGTCACCTACGTACCCACCGCCAGTACACCGAATTTGTAGGACAATCTTACTCAGACAACGAGGGATCACCTAAGTCAAAGTCAAAGACACACTGTATATCAAACTATCATGCAGTAATGTGCACATTACAAAATTGTATAGCAAATTTGCAGATAATATTTTAATTTAATTGTTCTATAAAACCCTCCTCACCGGTAATAGCCAAAGATCTTAAAATAGATTTTTAAATCGGTTTTTATAAGTTTTCTTGGCAAGAATCTAAGGTATTTGTTAGTGTTTCTGGATGGCTGTCTCAGACTGAGAAGAGAAATTTCCACTACATGGAATAAAAAAAATTAAGTAAGAATTCAGCAATGCCCACTTCTTTTTTGAAAACACATCTTCTAAACAGCTCAATTCACAACTGTCACTATGAATAAGCTAGTATGAAAACGTTTTGCTATGTAAATTGGTTAATTCTGCCCCAGCATGCACTAAAATGCATGTTAAAAATCACAATTAATACAACTTAACTCAGCAGATTAGTTATACTGCGGGCAGAAAATGAATGATACTTCAACCATTCTTAATGGAAAAAGACAGAAGTACCAAAGGGAAAGCCCAAAGAGAAAAGGCATATGTCTAGATTACAGCTAGACTTGCTTAAATCAATTCCTTCACCTGTGGCATATTTGATGAACTATCTTAATGAACTATAAAATCTCATTGTT